AGCTAAGGTGAGGGCAAATGCGCACGCGCGCGCGCACAAGAGACAAAAGAATGAAGACATGACAGGAGGACGAGACGGGACAAAGGTGTGTGTGGTGGAAATGAAAAGGGAACCAAGTGAACAGGGACACCCGATGAAGCCCACCTCATTGTAAAGACCTGGGCGACCTGAAACCTGTGTTAAAATGTATGTAGAAGTGCACGTACACACTAAGGTCGAACCAATGTGCGCGCAAACGAAAAAAGGGGATGAGATGACCAGACATGAAGACAGGAGGACATGAAAGAAAAGAGGAAACAAAAGTGTGTGAAGGGGGAGGGATGAAGGGGAACCAAATGGAGGGGACGAAAACCGATGAGACCAAACCTCATTGCAACGACCTAGGTGACCTGCCTCGTTTCAATGTACACGCTGTGTGTGCACCCAAGGTCGCGACAGGTTCCAATGAACCTTAAACTTGCTTTGACCGCTATGGTCACCTTGTGCCCTGCCGAAATGGCTGGCTGCTTTGACCGCTGCGGTCACGTAAAGGCATGAGCCAACTTGCAATTCCAAAAATGAGACAAAAATCTGAGTTCTCTCGGCCTAGGCCACCTACGCTCGCTGCGAGCTGCTCTGTATCCGGGCAGGGGATACGTTCGACAAACACCCGTTCAACGGGTGCGCGGGAGGCACTCTACGGGCTCATCCCGGGTTGGCACGAGGCCAAACACACTTATGGATATGCGTACTGACTTGACAGCGGTGCCACACGCCGGCCTAGGTTACCATTTCCTAAGGGTACAGGAACTCCGGAAGAAACCACCGAGCGAGCGGACGACAAGGCGCCGACGTGCGTGCAGAAAAGCCAAGTTCATCACCGCTGCGTTAGGTACGTCAATCCGGCGTCCCGGATTGATTTCACCAGCACACATCCAGTGTCTTCGTTGGTGCAAGACTGGATGGGCTGCTTGCACCCCCTGCTGAAAAGGAAAAACAATCCAACTGGATCCCTGTGACTACAAGGGTTACACACACACAGCGACGTGAGTGTGTAATTTCATACAAGTCTGTCCACTCGTATTGAATGCTGCAACTCAACAAACTGACAAATTCAACAGACAAATTGCCAGGAATGCCTGCAGTGCCTCATCAAGGCTGAGGCTGAGGGGGTCGGTGGAAAGGGTAGATTCTTACGACTGAACCCCGGCTCCACCTTCGTTTTTCAACGACGCAGTGGTATGCCCGCAGCAGTCAGTTTAAAACACTCACCGCGCCAATGTATTTCTATATCAGCCGCCTGGGTTGGGGCCCAATACTTTCTGTTGCACATCTGTCGCTTTCCCTTTGTTCCACGGGACGCCCAGCATTCAGGTGGAGAGGGCAGGAGAAAGAAACATACGGATCATAACCTCAAAGACTGAAAAGGAAAGTATGTTCCTCGGACTTCTTGTCCCACTTCCAGCTTGAATCTTGTCACAAAGGGTATGAAAAAGAAACATGCGGATCAGAACCTCTCAGAAACTAAAGAACATATACAATTACATCTTTTCAGTTGAAATTATGAAAACAAAAACCTATTTTTTGACTAGTGGAGCACTTTCTATCACATTTTTAAAAAAACTAGCAATCTTATATGTTAGTTTTCAAATTGAAAAGAAGGAAAAACCATTCCTACCTAAGCTCCAAAGGGCCAACCCAAAAGACAACTCGCGCACTGGCTGAACGCAAAGTCTGCCCCAATGTGATGCAGGTCAATACGCATCAAAATGTACACAGAATGGCTACCACCCATGGCAAATCTGAGATACTTCGGCGGAACATACTCTTGCAAAGAACTCAAAGTTTGCTTTGGCTTCTCGGGCAGCAGGCGCTCAACTTCAACAGCTTGCGCTGGCGGCCCCGCTTGCCATGCTGCCATCCACTGCGGGATTTTCACAAGACTGAGTAAAGGCCCCATCCTCGTCGCAAGCTGCAACTGCCAGCTGATCCGAAGGAATTTGATTCCAAGGTCAGCTCTACAAGTGGGATCCGCAGCAAACGTGTAGTTCGCTGCACGTTGCCCGATCAGCTTTCTCTGGGCTACGCCATTCTTTTTGAGAACGCTCGAGGGTCCAGCCATGGCTTTGATGTTGTCCATCGCGTCACATTCCCACAAGCACTGAACATCAGAACGACCTAGGTAAAGCAATTAATGTTGCTCAAACCCTCTAAAAGCGCCTCAGACTTTCCAACTGCGTCCACATTGCGTTCATCCTTGGAGCGCAGCGCATCTTCCTCTGGCAAAGCTTCCAACATGGAAACAAGCATAGGTCCTTGTCGAACAGCTTTCTCTCTCGTGGAGCCCATCTCACCATGCGGAGTTTTCGACAAGCTGGCCAACTGGAGCCAAACCGGTCCCAGCATACCCTGTCTAGCTGCGTCAAACAGCCCGCACACCGCCAAATCCTGGCTGCCGTCGCCTTGACCTTCATCTCATCACCGGCTCCAGGAGAAGTCAGCTTGGCAGACACCCCAGCTTTGTAAAGCGTTGAGTGAAAGCACCATCTCGCAAACGAAGCGCCACGTCTGTAGCCTTCGCTTCTGTCTGTGACGGGGGGCGCACGATTTCAGAAGAGGAAGAGGAAATAGTGTCCAAAAGTCATCACATTGTATGAATCCCTCCAAAGTGGCGTACGTCTCGCACGCTTGGTCCAGCCCCACGCTTGTTGCCAGCATAGCGTTGGTGTTGCGCGCCACCACCGCCTGAGCCACGATCGAACTTTGATCTCGATCCCTGGCTCAACGAGAATCCATGAAAGAGCCCAACTTTTTGAGGTTAATCTCTAAGGTCTCCGAGTCTCCGATGTTGCCAGCTTGCGCATGCCCTGGCAGCCGGCCAACTCATAGTCGATGATGGTGGCCGCAGAAAAGATGTCCCCATAGGCAGCTGTTTGTTTCATCTCATGTAGGGATGCTGGTCATTGACCCAAGGCCCACGCCTCCTGCACGGATGTTCCTATACAGTTCCGGGCGCCATGACATGTGCTCTGGACGGTGAGGGTTGTTCTGGCCAAGGCGCCGCCGGAACCATGGGGGTGCCATCAACAAAATAGAAGCCCCGCGTTTCCAGCTGACGTTTGATGGTCTCCTCAACGCCGCAAATATTCACCGACGGACCGACGGCCAAAAGAGCACTGGGAAAGCACTTGCCTTTACCAAAGCATCATTCAGCCTACCAGCTTGTTCCTGTATTCTACTTGGGGCAGCTGACAAACTGTAAGGGGCATAGCACTCTTCTGCAGGGTGAGGTTGTGGAGGGGACAGTTTCGACTGGTCAAGGAAGGAAAGAGCTTGAGAATGCACCCACCAATCTCCAGACCCCAGTCTAAACGAACGCTCCACAAACCACCGACGCTAGAAATATAAGTGCCATGTTGACCGGCTAGTGAACTGTAAGGGCGTAAGTTGAGCAGCACTACCCGTTTGCCTACCAGCACCAAGGACTCACTGCCATGCTCCCCTTCAATGGAAATTGTATCCAACCTCGCCACTTGCTGCCAGCTGAGCAGGCCCTGATATGGACGGTGGATCTGGCGGTGGCACGGTAGGGGGCGTTCCACGAATCACAGAGTACTGGTGAACTGCTCAAGTGGCTCCAGGGGCAGTATATCTGAAATCATAGTCGTGCCCTCATCCATTCCAAAACATTAAACAGCCAAATACCAGCAAAAAATTGAGATCACCAAAAGCATCACTCCAGCGGCCATCGCGTAGGCCACGCGTCCCGGAGGAAGCCAGCTTTCAGCTATCAAAAGGAACACCCCAGTCCAATCGTCATGGGAAGGCTTCGGTTTGTCAGGTCTTCCCTAGCGCCAGCCTGTCGGCTACTCTGAACAACGGAATTCACAGCGGCTTGCCATTGTTCTACAGTACGTCTTGGGTAAACAAGGGGAAGGAGGTTGCTAACTGAGCCGGAGCAGCAGCAAACATGTTCCACAGAAGGTCAGCTTTGACCTCATCACTAATGTGCGGAAGGTCTAAGTGGCGGATGAGTTGCCACAAGGGTTGCAGGCAATGAGGCAGACCCCGTCGCTGCATTTCATGAGATCCTTGCGTGTCCCCTACCCGGATTGCCACTGTTGGGCATCAGACAGGCTCTTTGCCTCCCGACCCTCCTGAGAAAAGTCACCAGCTCATGGTGGCTTCTTAATTCCTTGACCCTGAAGAGCTCGAGGAGAGACAAAAAGAGTGAAGGGTTCAAAAAACACATTGTTCTGCAGTTCTTCTCTCAAGAGAAGCGTGTGTTAGAATACAATATATGCCAGAGAAAAGCGAACACGAAAACAAAATGGCACGGCTCGTGGGATGTCTGAGCACTTGGCCCCCGTCGGGTGCGACAGGCAAACGAAGGCAAAAGCAAACGAAAGTGCGAAGCGGGCACGAACGAGCGCAATTGCAAGCGGAGTGCGCAGCGCAGCACCCTGAAGGAAAAGCAGTGGGCCTCACTTTTTCCTTGAGCCAATGTAGTCGCTGACATGAGAAATGAACACTGTACACGGTAGTGCTGCTCCATACAAGGGGTTCACAAAAGTTGCCTCCTACAAATGCAAAAGAGCAACTGGGCTTCGACATGCTTGCACAATGTGCACCGGGCAAAGGGGCAAGGGGCTCCTCCAGCTCTTTGCTCGAAGCCAAGGCTATCAGAAGATCTTTGGCTCCTTCTGCGCCTTTCGTGCTGCTGTTGAAGCACCTCAAGAACACGGACATGCTTGGACATAAAGAGGGGCACCGGCAGTCGAACCTTCAGAACATCTCACAACCCTCAGCAGTTCTTCTAAAATGAAGTTGCCTTGCAAGAATGGCTTGCCAATCACTTCCACAGCTCTAAAACTTCAAAGAGTCTCCTAGTCGAAGTCCTCTGCCCTTCCGCCCAAGAGGC